CATGGGAGGGGAGAAGAAAGCCAGTGGTACAGAGACAGACTTACCTGAGCCAGAAGCTATAGATGTCCAAGAGGGATGAGGCATTGGCGTCCTGCTGGGTCTATAGGAGAAAAGAGAAAGAGCCAACTAAGAATATTTTATTCTGGAGGCCGGAGAGGTGATACAGCAGGTGGGGCACTTGTCTTACATGCGGCCAACCCAGGTTCAATCCCAGGCATCCCATATGGTCCAGAGCCCGCAAGGGGTAATTCCTGAGCACTGAGGAGTGTGGCCCCAAAATCCAAAACAGAAAAGAGAACATTTTGTTCTGGTTACAAGAGGGTTGAGATTTTGTGTTATTCTCTCACTTGTTAAAGATGACTCCTTAGATACAGGGAGTGGCTTGGAGGTGCTTGCTGTGCTTTGCAGGCAGGAGGTTCAGGTTCTACCCCACACCCCAGGTGTGACCCAAACATACACAGACACACAAAATCTGCTTTATGTATTCTCCGATATAAATGTTACACCTCTATTTACTTTTGTGGTTGTGTCCTGCTGTGTTCCAGGCTTATTCCTGGCTCTGCCCTCAGGAGTCACTACTGGAGAGGTTCAGGGGACCATAAGTGGTGGTAGAGATTGTGTCCAGGTTATCTGCCTGCAAGGCATGCACCTTACCCACCACTGTACTATCTTTCTGGTCCCTAAATGTGACATCTTTAAAGACTTCTTGAATAATAGGATGGAGCGACAGGAAGTGGGTAGGGTGCCTGTCTTGTATGCCACCAACCCAAGTTCGGTGCCCTACACTCCTGAGCACCACCAGGAGTGATCCCTGAGTCCAAGACAGGAGCAAGCCCTGAGCACCGCTAGGTGTGGGCCCCAAAAAAGAACCCCAGGGCACCAATAGAGGTCAACCTTTAAGGGATCACTGCTGAGCAGAGCCAGGAACAGTCTCTCAGCATCCAAATGTGTAGTCTCCTCCACCGCGCCCACCCCCTAAAAAAGACACAACACCAAGAAGCAGACTGGAGCAATAGTATAGCAGGTAGGGCACTTGCCTTACACACAGCCAAACTGAGTTCAATCCTGGAAGCACATTTTGTACATATAAAAGCAGTACACTATGTGATCACCTAATAGGCTGCCCTTTCTGAAACTAATCAAATTTTTGCAACTTCACTGTCCACAAAGAACAAGTCATCAACTACCCTCTTCTACTAATGGGGATGTGGCTCAGTGATAGAACACATGTTTGAGGCCAAAGGTTTGATCCCCAGTCCAGCATGGTGCCCTGAGAATCCATTGCTCCCCCCCCCCCAAAAGCCCTCACTTTATTCAACCTTGGTTTTCCCCAGACACTGTTTTTCTTGAGTTACAGATTCCAGACCAGGAATACATCCTTAACATTCCACATTAAGCCAACAATGGTAACAGCTTTGTCCTTAGTACTTTCAGGATCAAGTACTGAGATCACTACTTTGTATGCATCAATTCTACCAAATGGGTGATGACATCACATTCCTGTAGGGGGACAGAGTCTGAGCAGGCTGCCTGAGTCTTAAATCTCTACAATTTAAAAGTCGTGGAGCCGCGTGGCAAATCCAGATTTAAACTGAATGCACAGATGAAAGGCCTGCCGGGTAGGATCAACCTCGCTTCAGCATGACCAAGTCAGAACGCTGCCTCTACTCTCATTCAATTTTTTTTCTTTTAAAGACGTGAAGGTAGAGAAAGAAGTAAGCGTTCTGGAGAGAACACGGGATTCTTCGGAGTGGAAATATGCCAACAACGAAATATAAAGATAAGTAAGCGAGATACGGACTCAAGGGAAAACGCGGGCTTTAAGAGCAAGCCATACTTGATTCTTTACTAAGCCTCCGTTTCTGACGCGATACCATTATCTATGAGTCCTGGGCAAATTCAAGTGATTTAATCAGTCAGCGTAAAGACCAAAGTGGGAACCAGCAGCTTGCAAAGCCTCGAGTGGGTCTCAGGGACTCCCTGCTCCCTGCCCAGCCACGTGACCCGAGCACGAGGGTCTCACGCCGCCGTCTCAGCACCAGAAAACCCGCACCAAGTCCTGTCGCTAGCTGGTCCTAAGGCCTCGACACCAGGCTCTCTCCGATCACCGCTAAGAGCACCTACAAAGGCCCCGCAGCCAGGCTGCCGGACCCCACAAGACGCCCCCTCCCCGGAAACCCGAGGACATAACAGCTCCGCCCTTACTCACCGCGCCTGTTGCCTTGGCAAACTTATTGGCCACCTCCGACAGCTGGTTCTCGCGCAGGAAGCCGAGCACCAGAGGATACAGGTCGCTAGGAACCACGCGGCGCAAGCCGGCGTCCGCCATCCTCCGGGCAATACGCGTCACTACCGTCGCCGACACGCACGACTCAGGAACTCGAGCATTAGGCGTGCTGGGGGCGGCGCTGCGTGACGCCATCACGCCGCGCGGGCGCAGACCGGAAGGGGCGGGCACACCCCCACTGCGCAGTCCCGGCTCCACCGCTCCGGCAGGGTCAAAGTTCTTTCCGGTCCCGCCAGTGTCGCCATCTTGGTGAGGGCGTTACCCGACGTCCGCCACCTTGTGAAGGCGGAGCCTTCCTAACGTCAGGCGCCACGCCCTCGGCCGTGGCGGGAAAACTCCGGATTTCCCGCGCTGGTCTTTTCTGGTCTTTTCTGCTAGCGGCAACTGTCTAGGGGGCACTGGTTTCGCAAGTCTCCCAGAAAGGTTTTGGATTCCAGTATAATTAGTAAATTAGCATGCGCGAACTGATCGTGAACTCTCCAGACTTGGGTCACGGGATCGTCCAGCCGCTACTTGCACTCGCCCCGCCAGCGAACACCCGTCTTTCTTCTTCACTGCCTTTTCTCCGATGACTTCCGCCTCCACTGCAGAGAATCCTTCAGATTATCCGGCATAGTACTGGGGTGTTGGTCCCCAGAACTGCCCCTCTCGATCATGTCTTGCCCTTTGAGACTCCCCTTCCTCCCCTTCCCAACATTCAGCCTTAGCTCCAGAAAGGGAAAATCACAGATTGGGCACCTAACTGCAGTGGCACCACCAATTTCTTCACCACAGCTCTGAAAATCACCGTTTTCAGAAGATTGAGGGGGAAAACTCGTAAATTAAAAAAAAAAATTTGTCCTGAGAACTAAAATATTAATGACCATTAATTACCTACTACTTCCTGACAATACCCCTCAGAATTATGGACCCATTTCCCCATCTGTAGAGTCTTATCAATGAGCCGAGAACATGCATCAGGCAGGAGGACCAAGGGTACAGTCCTGGCAACATATTCCCCCACCCCCTCACCATCATGCTCTGCCAGGGCTGGCCCCAAAGCAACCAAAAACAGACTTTCTAGTGCTGGAGAGAGTACACGGGTCAGGGCTCTTGGTCTTGCATGTGGCTGACCTGGGCACAGAAGCAGGAGCAGGAGTTGCCCTGAGCATCTCTGGTGTAGCCCAAATCTCCCAAAAATTAAATACAGAATATGCTATCACAGAGATAGCACAAGTGATAGAGCATATGCCAATGTGTTCAGAAACCTGAGCTCAATTCCAGGACTTGCATGCCCTAGTCCACCAAGATGGCCCTTAGAAAGAAACGTGGCTGGAGAAAAAGCTCAAAGGCTAGTGTATGACTTGAATGTGGGAGGCCTGGATTCTTTCCAGGTACGGCATGGGCTGCAACAGAGAGCTGGGAGTATCTCCTGAGAACTGCGGAGATAAAACAAACCCCATCTCACCCCACCCCACCAAAAAAGTAGCATCTTTGGCCCTATCAAATCAGGCTGCATTCTAAGAATTTTTTTAAATATTTGGGAGGAGGGGCAGAGAAACAGTAGTGATAAAGCATTTGCCTTGCTACACACAGCTAACTGGACTGTATCCCCAGCACTGCCAAGAGTAATCCCTTAGTACAGAACCAGAAGTCTTGAGTACTGCTGAGTGTGCCCCCAAACACATTTTGGTTTTGTAAACACCCAAGGGTATGCAGGGGAAAATGCAGTGCCAGGGATCAAGACCACAGGCAAATCATGCACTCAGTCTGTCTCTCCACCCACCCACCGTTTTTTTGCCACACTCAACAGTTGTAAGATTCATTACCTGAGGTCCTAGCAGTGCTGTGGCCCACTCCTGGAAATACTCAGGTCCTATGCAGTAGTGTGAAGACTTTGTGGGCCACACCTAGAGGTGCTCAGGGCTCACCCCTGGCTCTGAGCTTAGGGATCACTCCTAGTGGGGTCGGGACCATACTGGGGTACAGGGGATCAAACCTAGATTGGCTAAGTACAAGGCAAATACCCTATCTGCTGTACTGTCACTCCAGCTCCTGAACCCAGACTTCCTGGAATGCAGTACAGATGTAGAGCCCAGGGCTCCTGGGTACAAGTATAGTTCTTTGAACTAACTTCCCAGATTCATATGCCCCCCTTTTGTGGGGGTGCTGGAGAGAGAGTCATACTTACCAGTATTCAGCAGTTATTCCTAGCTCTGAGCTCAGAAATAATCTTGGCAGTGGACAGGAACTCAAACCAGGGTTGGCAGGATACAGGACAAGCACCTTAATCCCTATACTCTCTGGCCCTATCAAATGTTTTCAAGTTTTTTGTTTTGTTTTGTTTTTGCTTTTTGGGTCACACCCGGCAATGCACAGGGGTTACTCCTGGCTCTGCACTCAGGAATTAACCCTGGTGGTGCTCGGGGGACCATATGGGACGCTGGGAATCAAACCCGGGTCGGCCGCGTGCAAGGCAAATGCCCTTCCCGCTGTGCTATTGCTCCAGCCCCAAATGTTTTCAAGTGTGAGAAGCAGCACTCTAGATGACTGACAGCAAAGTCACTGTCACATTTTAGTTCTAGTTTTGTATTTAAATACAATAACGTTTTGAACCTGGCCAGAGGTATTCTTAATGAACTTAACAAAGTTACTGATACAGGATGTGTGTTCAGGAAAAAAGTATGTGTGAAACTAGCACCACTGAAAGAAGCACAACACTCAGGTTCTTTTGAGTTGATGTTTATTAATCTGCATAGTTACTCAGATGTTCCAAATACTGGGGGCACCCCACAACCCCAATCTTACACAGGAATGCAAGTTAACTTTTTTAATGCTTATTTAAAAAAAAAAAGAAAAGGAAAAAGAAAAACCCCTTAAAAATCTGATTTAACACATTTTTATTTCACTTTTTTCCATTTCTTTATAAAACAGTCATTCCTCACTAGCAGCTCTCCCCCCTATGGTGGGGGAGGGATGAGGCTGGGCACCTCCACAGATAAGGGAAAGGGGGAGAAGAGCCCAGGGTTACCTCCTGAGGTTCTTCTGGGCCTGTTTCAACAATGTGTCAAAGTCAAGAGAATCAAATTTGCTCTTTACAGGAGCTGGGTCAAAATCTTCCCGATTGGAGTCTAGAGAGAGAAACACACACACACACACATACACACAAACTCGAGAGTGTTCTTCCCAACCACGGGTCCTCAAAGGGCCCAACCCAGTAACGGAAGCTAAATGCACCCTGATTTTAAGTCAAGGAGAGCCCCCACTTCTCATTTCTGCTCTCATCCCACCTTTTAGATACTTGATGTCTGATGAAGACAAGTCTGCTAGCCTTACTCTCAAAAGGTTGGGAACCCTTCTGGGGAGGAATCAAAGTACAAGGGAGTTCCCGGCCTCCCTCTACTCACCAAGATCAGAATAACTTCTCTTGCAGAACTGCCTGCGGCCCCCAAAACAGAGATCAAAGGGCTGCTCATCTGCTTGCCTCAGCTTGTGGCCACTCTCGATGGCTGCAAAGGCCTCCTCGGCATAGCGGTAAGTGACGAAGCCATAGTTGTCACTGGTCAGGAGGGTGGGGAAAGGACTGGGATGGCTCTCTGGGCACAGGCCACAGAGAAGAGAACGCTCCCCGGGAGAGAGGGGTACTGGGGTGGTTCTCATTCCCCAAAGGGCCGACCTTTCTGACTGTAGGAATGAAGGTGCCCCCGTTGCCCAGCACACATCAGCAAGAGGTAAAGACAAAGTATTACAAAAATCAGCGAAGACAAAAGCATCAGAGAGATGAAGGGACCGGAAAGCACGTCCTGATCACTAGGGCCCAGGCTTACCCTTGGACACGGAAGTGGATGGTGCACTCCTCAATCTCTCCAAAAACAGAGAACCTTTGCTTCAGCTCTGACCGAGTCATGCGGCCAGGTATCTTCCCAATGAAGACTACTCTTCTCTCTTCCTGTGTTGGCAAGAACATTGGGGCACTGAGCCTGCGCACGGGGGGGCAGGTGGCTCTGCTCACGGCACAGGCACAAGCCCCCCGCGCCCGGGACCCATCTTCCACTCACTATTGCACGCTCCTTCTGCAGCACTCTCTGCCTTTGGTAATGGTCGTGTGAACGGTAAGAGCTGTACCTGACAAAAGAAAATGCCATGAAACCCCCAGATGTCTCGAGACTCTCAGTCAGGCACGTGCCTCCCAGATGCTCTGACTCCCTGAACACGTGCTCACCGCCGCCTCCTGTCACTTCTCCGGCGGGGGGATGGAGAACGAGAACGGCTTCGGGAACTGGATGAGGAAGAGGATGTTGAGGAAGATGATGATGAGGAGGAGGAGGAGGAAGAACATCTTCGGGACCGTCCAGAGGAACTGCAACTGGATCTGGGGAATAAAGGGGCCCACAGGAATGCGGGGAGTGACGCCGCTATTCACATACTAGCCTCCCTTCGGCTCCAGGCTGCCGTGCTATCAGGAAGCTCAGGACCAGAGAACAAGCAGAGAAATCTGAAGACCCTCCACAACTGACCTGAGAACCACCTGTTTAGTTTTGGGGTCACACCTGGCAATGCTCAGAAGTTACTCCTAACTGCACTCGGGAATTATTCCTGCAGGCTCAGGGGGCCATGTGGGGTGACGGGGTTCAAACACAGGTCAACTGCGAGCAAGGAAAGCAAGCTAGCCAATGTCCTATCATTCCAACCCTTCACGTGAGCTTTAGATGTAGCTGGAAATATTTCAGAGTGTTTCATAGTATATTTAAGTATGTAACAATGAAATTTTAAAATATTTAACAAGACAGAAAAAAATGGAGGTCTGCGGTCAGAGCAACAGTAATACAGTGGGCAGTGTTTGCCTTGCACATGGCCAACCTGGGTTTAACCCCCAGCACCTCAGATGCTTCCCCAAACCCAATCACTCAGGAGTGATTCCTGGGCACCGCTGGATGTGGCCCAAAAACAGAACAATAAATATTAAAATCAAAATATAAATGGAGGCCCGACACTATTAGAAATGTATCAGATAATGCAGGTCCAAGTTTCTGGATCCCGCTCCCCTACTGTGTCTCAAAGAAGTGCTATGACACAAGAGTAAGTGACTGTGCGAGACCTGCAACAGGGGTCATTTCTGAAGACATGCCTTACTGTCAAAAACCAAAAATTCTTGGGGTTGAAGAGGGTAGTACAGGGCATAAAGCACTCAACTTGCATGTGCCACTGCCCTGCCAGGAATGATCCCTGACTAGAGTCAGGAATAAGTACTGAGCACCACAGGATGTGGTCCCATAACCCCTCAAAAAAAAAAAAAAAAAAACCCAGAGGACAAGAGTGATAACACAGCAGGCAGGGTGTTCTGAGAAGCTTTGAGCACCGCCAGGAATGCAGGAATGATTCCTAAGAGCAGAGCCAAGATTAAGTCCTGAGCATTGTCAGGTGTGGCCCCAAAATGGAAACAAACAAAAAAAAATCCAGACACAAATTTAAAAAGGTCCTCAGGAGCTGGAGAGATAATTCAGCAATTCAGAGGGTAGGGCATTTGCCTTGCATGGAGCCAAGCCCAGTCTGATCTCTGGCATCCCACATAGTCCCTCCAAGGCCCATCAGGATTAATTCCTGAGTGCAAATCCAAGAATAACCCTTGAGCACCTCTAGGTGTACCCCCCTGCCCCCCGCAAGTCTTCAGTAAGTGGGAAAATTTGGGCATTACTGAGAAAAAGGTAGTCCCATGAGACATTGGGCACATAGTAACACCCAACAGACTGCCACACTCTTTAACAGCCATCTATTTCCCACCTTCCACCTTCTGATACAGAAATGTGAAGAATATAAGGAAATCAATATGATCACTGACAATCAGACCCTTCTGGTCTCCCCAAAGCAAGTCTCAGAGAGTTTTAGGTGCTGAGCACAAGCTTTGCATATTGGAGACCACACAGTCCCCTAGGATGACTATAGGTGGCTCAAAATCAAGAACCAAAAAAGAAAAGGGAAAGAAGGATCCCCCCCACTCCCAACCCCGCCCGGGATCTCCCAAGCCTCAGAGGGAAATGAAAGCTAGGGCCTTGGTTTGCCTTTCAACTGCCCAGAAAAGGGGACCACAGAGCAGCCTCAGGGCCTGGAAGCAGCAAAGTCCATCAGAGGGTTGGTCCTCTCAGTGGAGAGGCCCAACAGACCATCGGAGCTCACCTTCGCCACCTCTTGTGTGGGGGGGAGAGGGACCTGGACCGGGACCGGGATGAGGACGACGATGAGGATGAGGAAGATGATGCTTCGCTGGTCTGGTTGGACCCAGAGCTGACAGAGCGACTGCTGCGGCCCCGACGGCCCTGCCAGCCCCGGTTCTGGGGACTGGCCGACCTGCAGGCTTTGCGGTAACAGCGCATTGACCGCTGCTTGGCTGAGGGCTCGGGAAGAGTCCTAGTGTCAGTCCGGCACGGCGAGGCCTCAGGGGAAAGCAAGGCGGAAGGGGCGAGGCACGGGGCAGGGGGTTCTGCCTGCTCATTGCTAGTCCTGTGGTCAAGTGGCTCCTGGGAGGCAGCAGTACGTGGGGGCACTGGGGCAGCTGGGCCCAGGGACAAGACAGGTTTGATGGTGATGTCCTGATGGCGTTTGACATTCCAGCGGGAGCCCACCTCTGGAATGACTAGAGCAGGCATCCTTTTGGGGGGTGTCCTGCTCCGAACACAATAGTCATGGTCCCCGGAGCCCACATGAACTGGACTGGGGCCCTGGGCCCCTTCTTGGAGGCGGGCTGCAGCTGGATGTTTGGCCTCTGTAACTCCTTCAGACTTCAGGGTCCCCTCCTGGGCCGTGGATTTAGGAGATTTGGCTTTGGCCAGCAGAGAGACAGCAGCCAGGGGCTTCCATAACTGGTGGGGAGGGGTGGCTGGAGGGGTGAGCCCTGTGAGGGGAGGGAGGATGGACAGCAGAATGAGATCTGAATCTACACTTCCAAACACGGCGTTAGGGGATCCCGAGACCCCCACCTATCTCACAAAGTACACCAACAACGGTCAAGGGCCCAGCGGCTCCCATGCTGCACTATTCCCTCAACTTCCCCATCATGGCACCTGCAAGAGAAGCCCCGCCAGCTAAAGTCCTCCTGAACCCCTCAACCTGTCACTGCATTAACTTTGCTGGGGGCCAGGGCCTGTGGCATCTAGCTCTTCCTTCACTGGCCCACCCTCCCCACCCAGCACCCGCTGGCCTCTCAGCTGTACCTTGCCTGGGCTCAACCTTGAGATGATCGCCTACCCCAGCGTCCTCTTCATCTGCCTCCCACATTCCTGCTGGGCAAACCCCAAAAGCAACCTGGCAAGGCTTCTCCATGCACAGGATAAAGTCTGAACGGTGTGTCTGGCACTCAGCTGTTATGATCTGACTTCCTACAGACGACTCACCCACCGCCCAGGTCCGTTCACCCAACTCCAGTCAAAACTAACCATTCGCGATCCCCACCCCCCCGAAACAGCAGACTAGTTCTGTTTCTCGCTCAAACTGCTCTCCCTGTTAGAATGCGCCATGGCCTCAGTCTACCTGAGCCCGGTGCCTTTCTCGTCACCTTCTCCATAAGCCTTCCCTGAATGTACGCCTTCCGTCCCAATATGAAGACACAGACTGCTTTCACATTCAACCAAATCCGCAACGTGCTCACTTGTGCGCACATCCTTGAGGCGGAGTATCAGATCTCTGAACTCCCAACACCTACATACTTGGTGCAGAGAAGGTTCTACAAACGTTGGCTGCAGACACTAATCAAAGGCACGAGATCCCCACCCTGAACCCACCTGCCACGTTGGCCAGTTCTGGGGCTTGTAACCGGTCTAAGGGCTTCTTCTCCTGGGGAGTGTCAACGCTGCTGGTGGGGGGAAAATGGAAAGCCTGATTGATTGCCTCCTCGACATCCTATACATCTGCTTTCCACGCAGAGCAGAGGGAGAGGAGAGGAGCGTGGGCGCAGAGGAAGTAAGGTACACACACTGCCCTTATCATTCTCCTCCAGCACGAGAGAGGATCGTAATGACCAAATTGTAGGCGGGGCCCCAACTAAGCGCTGTCCAATCCAGGAGGTAGCCCAACTATATAACTGCAAAAGCACCACCCAATTCAAGGCAGGAGACTCACTGGCCCAGCTCAAACCAACCCGAAATTAACATGTAAGGGAACACGCTGCACAGAATGGGACAGGGTATCATGAACATGAGAAATGGCCTCTCCAGGTTTGCAGATGGAAAATAGGGAGGTCCAGGGCACTTATGTCCTCCAAGGAGTCGGGACACGGAGTCCTCGCTGCCAATCCCCTCCACCCACATCCTTGTTTTCCACCACCCCATGTTGAGCAAACTTCAGATTTCTTAAAGGAAGGAAATACCCAAAGGCATGAGTTTGCCGGAAGGTAAGGGTACATCCAGGCCTTGGCTGGAGGACAACACACATCCTCCTTACCTCCCTACCAAGATACCTGTGTGTCCTGCCCAGAGCAAGGGATGGGGCAACAGGAAAGCTCTAGAGCTGACTGAACATCCCTGCCACAGTGGCATCCAGCAGGCGGTTCGGGAGCGCCAGCTGGCTGCTGACCAACAGCTATAGGGTAATGCCCATAGCCAAAATGCCAGTATAGCCTGACCTGCAATTTAAGAACTAATCTCTTCTTGGAAAAATGCTAAAATACATTGTGTAAGTTTCTGAGCTATGGCCGGGATAAGTGCCATGAGCCCACCGCTAGGGCTCACACCATGATTTATTGAAAATCTGCATGCTTGGTTAATTCCCCATTTCCCCACTTCCTCACGTAATCAATTATAAAAGGCTAGCTTGGGAGAAAGAAATTGGGAGCTTGATCAGAGTCTTGACTTGCTCCCATTCTTCTGTCTCTTTTTCTCACTCGCGCACCCTCTCCCGGTTATCCACGTTGACTAGTCCCGCGGGTCGGGGCAGAGTAACTCACTCGGAAGTCTCCATACTCACCCTGAGTTTCCTACAGCCAAGCTGTCAGCAGGAGCGGGGGGAGGGCACTCCTTTTTGGCTGCAAAAAAACCACACTAGTTAAAAGCCCAACAGGAGGTGGAAAAGTTCACTCTGAGACCCAAAGAAAGAAAATCTACTTTGCCTACATAGTGCACTGGGCTCTCCCCAGCCTTCCCTTCCGGGGGGGGGGGGGGGGGGGGGGGGGGGGGGGAGGGGCGGCACCAGGGTCACTCAGACACAGCAGGGGTCAAAGATTCCAGCAGTGCTGAGAATGGAAGTCAGGACAAGCGCAGCAAGACATGGCTCTCACCCTTGAGCCCCCCACCAACCCCGAACTACTTCCAATCGTCCTTTCTCCATTCAGAAACAGGGTCCACGCTTCGAAATCTGACAAAGTTCTACATAACCTGCCTAAACTGTTCTCAAAGTTCTACATGACGTGCCAAACCATGAGCTGTTCTTGTTTTACAGCTGATTAAATTCTGTATTTTGCTTGATACTACAAGATGCCTTAAACTCAGGTGGGGGTGATTTTGGAAGGTTATTTGCCCCAGGTAAAAGCATAAGCTGATTCAGAACAGGACACAGCATCCCTCACGGCCCCGCAATCCATACACTGCACTCAGAAAGCTGTCCAACCATCCCCCACAGCGACAGCCTTCCAATCAAACCCTCAGGCATTGCTGACCCCTCTGCTTCCATTCACCGCACTCCAGACGAAGTCCTGTCTTTTTGCTAGGTCCAGCTTGAGCACTACTTAACTCAAGAACCCTGCCTCCATTCGAGCCAACTCCAAGCTCCCTGCCCATCTGTTCCTACCTTGCTGAACTGCCATCCTCTCCTGAGCTTAGTCACAGGTGAGCCCTCGTTCCAGTGGGGGGGGGGGGGGGGGGGGGTTCTAATGTCTGAAAATACCTCCTCCAGCTCAACAACTTCCCCCGTGTTTAAGAATCACAGCATGTTGGGCCCAGAGAAAATGCCACAAAAATGTTAACCACCAGAGTAGCCACGTAGGCGCCCTCACCTTCTGACTGCTCAAATTGCTCCAGCAGACTGGACAGGTCTGATGCCTCAATTCCTGGACAAGAAAACCAACATGGAATCAACAAAGTGACGAGTGACCGCAAGCCCCATCACCTCACTTCTCCCTTCACGCTCCGCTTTCCTACAGTACTCAGCAACACAACGCAAAAAGGAAGGCATCATCTGCCCGAGCGTCTGCCCCCCCCACGAACCTCCTCAGGGCTCTAAGGCAGGCCGGCCCCCCAGAGCTGGCTTAACCTTGCCTACGAAGGACAGTCCCCTCCCGTGCAGCTTCTATACCCACAGGTCCACGTGGCACTCACCGATCTCACTGATGAAAGCTTGCACGACATCCTCGGGGCCCTGGGCGCGCGGCTTAGGCAGGAAGGAGAGCTTCCTCAGCCGGGCCGGGTGGAGCGCGGGCAGCTTAGGAACAGTGCTCGGCTTAGGCGTGGCTGCAGAAGCCGCCTTGGCTACAGGAGAAGGTGGCTTCTCCCTGGGCCGGGTCTCCTGCGGCTCCGGCTTCAGTCTCTCAGACTCGGGCTCCTGGACGGCCCCACACGGTGGAGTCTTGCCCGGGGCGCTCTGGCCGGGGGAGGACACCTTGTGCTTCAGAGGAGGTGCAGGCACTGGCTTCCCCTCCACTCTGGCAGTCTCGACGGCTGCGGCTCCCTGCCCAGCGGAGGCTTGAAGGCCTTGGGGAGGCGCCATCGGCACAGGAAGTACACTTTCAGAAGGGCCAGCGGGGGCGCCACTGGACTCCACCTTGGGTGGGGGGACAGCCCTTCCAACGGAAGCCAGAGGCAATGGAGGTGGGGGCACAGCAGGCCAGAACGGAGGGGGCTGCAGTCCCGGGCCCCAGCCCAGGGGCCCGTAGGAACAGCTGGAACTGTAAGGTGGGACTGGGGCAGGGGGAGGTACCCAAGGCACGTTGCAAGTAGGGGGCACAGCATAAGCACCAGGAGTCCCAGACACTAGGGGTACCGTCGGCGGGGGAGGCAGGCAAGGGTAGCCAGAGGGGGCCACGGGGGGGTAACACGGCCAAGGCGGCACAGGAGCATAGTGAGGGTACGGATCAGGGGGCACCGGGAGACTCGGAGGCTGCAGGGGGGGCGGGGGGAGACTGGAGACCCCTTGCCCACTAGCAGGAAGGGGCAGCATGGCAGTCATGCCCAGTCCACCAGGAGGGAAAGGCGGCGCAGAGGGCATCGGGGGGAGCATGGACTGCACGGCAGGGGGAGGCAGAGGTGCGGCCGGCAGTGGCATCTCCTGGGCTGGCATCTGCTCAGGAGTCGTGGAGGACAGAGGCTTGCTCGCGGGTGGCTCTGGACTAGGAGAGGCAGGGCTGGGAGCCACAGGGACAGAGCACGCGCCTGGAGGAGAGACCTCAGGGCTTCTCTGCGCAGCCGTCTTCTTAGTCGGGGCTGTCGGGATGACAAGACAAGGGATGTCTGCCAGCCCCGTGGGGGTCTCCGGGAGGCTGGGCCACTTCCCAGCTGGGGGCTGCGAACTCCTCTCTTCTGCCTCTGCTTGACGCTGCTGCCTCCGTCGCCGGTACTCAGACAGGCTAAGGGGTCGGGGTTTGGCTTCCTGGGTGGGGGCACCGGCACCATTTTCCACCTTCAGAGGACCTGCGGCCTTGCCTTCAGGGACGGGAGCTTTCGAGAGATCTGAGACCTCCGACTCCAGAAAGAACGGAGAGGCTAAACTCGCCTGGGCAGATAGCGCCGCGCCACGACGGGGATCAGTGGGCCGAGACTTGGCCAGTACTGAGTCACCTGGAGGGGGGTCTGTGGGAACAGAGTCAACTGGCATCGGCATAGCCGGGACAGGGGCAACGGGTGGCATGTCATCTGCGATGGGAACAGCCACCGCAGGGCCCACCGCTGTGGAGTCAGTCGGAACTGGGTCAGAGGGGAGAGAATCAACCAGTTCCAAGTCAGCTGCAGCAAGGCCACCTGGGGCGGGGGGCAGCAGGTGCAGGGTCGGTGGGAACAACGCCACCTGCTGTGGGGTCAGCTTCAATGGAGCCAGGTGGCTCAGGGTTGGCTTGGGCAGAGTCCCCCAGTGAGAGATGAACCTGAACTGAGCTGCCTTGGACGGGGTCAACCAGGGAGGGACGGAGGTCTCGAGGACCCTCCCCAGCTGGACTAGCTTGTCTGGCAGGACTCTCCAAGCGGCCGGAACTTGGTTTCTCCAAGGCGGCTGCCCAGGCCCGAGCCCAGGCCCGGGGTTTCCCTCTGCCACAGGAGGCTCCTGCCTCTCTCTGGACTTCTTCTGGAGGCAGGGAAGTCATCTGTCCAGTCCCTCTACACTGCCCGCGAGAGGATGACCTCAGCCTCCTGGAATAGCCTTCTGCACTGGCTGCGGGCTGATCCTTGCTCTTCTTCCTCCTGCCCTTTCTGGTCTTCTGGGAACTCGATGCGGCATTGTCTGGTGCGTTCAGAGGCCCCTTGGGTGCCTCTGGGTCCATGCTGTCCTGGGGCGCCATCAAGCTGCTTAAGTCTAACTTTTCCCTCAGGTCCAAGGACAGACCCTCTTTCTCCAGGCTGAGGGCTTCCTTGGGCATGCTGGCCTCTGTCCCTGACTCCAGTGTGGGCATGAGCAGTTCCAAGGCCGGACCGGCCTCCAGGGCATCATGCAGGAGCCCCGGCTGGGGTTCAGAAGGGATCTGCCGCACCACAACTGGAATCTCCAGGTCACTGCCAGCTGTAGCCGCATGTCCCACAATCTCCAGCACCACACAATCCTCAGGCAGGGCCAGGCCCTCGGTCTGCTCCTGCAGCTCACCGTCCAGTGAAGTCAGGTGGGTGAGGGCGGGCAGGCAGTAGGGATGCATGGCTCGCACCAGTTCACTCAGGGAGGAGATGCTCTCATCCCCAGATGCCTGCCCGGATATCTCTGCTGTCGCTGCCATCTTCTCTTCCTCCTCAGGACAGGCTAGGTGCATGGGGAAGTCTGGAACGCTGCTCGCAGGCTTGTCAAGTTCCCCGGCAAGCAGCTGGTGGCTGAAGCGAGCCACCTCCTCCTCTTCTTCCCCATCACTGCGCTGCTGGGGAGGAGACTGGCCCCAGCGGGGTCTGGTCCTCGAGGGACGCCAACTAGGAAGTTTGGGGGATGATGTGTCCAAGAAGGAGGGTGGGGAGAAGTCCCAAGAGGGATCTGCGAGAGACATTTCAACCTGCCGGAAAGAGAACAGGAGTTAAAAGAGAACAAGGCCTATTCCGCATTACCCTCCCTCTTAAGAAGCCGCAGAGGTTAGGCTTACCCCACTCATTCTACTACTGCCTGTGCTGGCTGCCAGCGGGTCAACTGGGGTGATGAGGTCACGCTCTGGGGGTGTCCGAGAGATGGTGAGCAGCTTGTGCAACTAAGAAAAAGACTTACAATTAACATGGGCTCCCAAAGGCAGTGTGAACCCCTGCGGCCCCTCCAGGCCTCTCCCCCAGCCTCCACTCACAGAGGAGCCCTCTCGGGGTGACACAAGCAGGTCCGAGTCAGGAATGCTATCAAACGGAGACAGATTCTCAGAATCCGCATTGTCCAAGATCTCAGTGAGAGCCGTGAGCAGTGACACCTCATTCTGGTCCTCCAAAGACAACCTGCTCTGCTCCAGAAAGACAACAGAAGGTGGCACCAACATCCCTAAATGCCCTCCTGGACCACCAAGAAGAATCCATCTCTCAGGATCAGCTTAGTCATCTTGTCTGAGAGGAGAACTCCAGGAGGTGTGGCCTCCAATCCCTTGTACCTCCACCCAACACCCCCAAGGTCAACACAGACCTTTCAGAACTGACTCGGGGGACCTTCCAAGCAACATTGTAGGAGCCCTGTCATAACTGGCCAACCTAGCCAGCAGGGTCGGTGCTTGGGCAAGGTGATACAGTGTTGCTTGGGGGGCTCCACAATGTCCCAAGGATTTGAGTTTGGACCGTGCATCTTTGTCATTGTTTTTTGGCAGTACTGGGGATCAAACCCAGGGCCTTAAACATTCAAGGCAAGTGTGTTACCAGTAAGCTACTTACCCTGGCCCAGAATTGAGTTCTTTTTTTATATTTTCAATACACCACTCCTGGAAGCACTTACAAGATCAAGTTGACAGGGCCAGAGAAATAGTACAGTGGGTAGAGTTCTTGTTTGTACATGCCAACCTGGGTTTAATCTCTGGTACCCCACATGGTCCCCCAAGCCCCAGCAGGAGTGATCCATGAGCACAGAGATAAGTGTAAGCCCTGAGCACTTCCAGCAGTGGCCCAAAATAAAAAAAAAAAAAAGACAACGACCAAGTCAACACATAGGAACAGAGCAAACTCCTATTCTGTCTTCTGCTCAAAATCCATTTACTCAACTGTTGTAGGATATGGGACATATCAGATATTAAACTGATAATAACAGGTACTACATTTGACCTTTGCTATGAGGCCAAGAAACAGTAAGTCTTTATTTTATAGGGGCCCATCTTTACAGTGATCCATCCACTGTGGTGTTGGGAGCCATGAAGTGTCAGGGCTTAAACCCAGGGTCTTTAACCAGAGATCAAGCTCGACAGGCTGAGCATATGCTTTGCATGCAAGAGGGTGAGTCTATCCATCCTCTGCACAGCACCATTCCCTAAGCACTGCCAGGAGGAGCCGGCAAGAGGCACCCAATAAGGTCAGGAGTGATAGTACAGCAAGCAGGGTCCCTGCCTTGAACGCAGCCAACCCAAGTTCAACCCCCGGCATCCCATACGGCTCCTCAAGCACCACCAGGAGTAAATCCTGCGTGCAGAGCCAGGAATAATTCCCAAGTAATACTGAGTTTGGCCCAACCCCTCATCCCCCCAAAAAGGGGCACCCAGTCTGATTCAAAACAAAAATTAAAAAAAACCTGGCCCTTCACATCTTAGGTTTATAAGCTCTGCTACCTGAGGTATCTTCCTGGTCCCCAGGATTGAATGTTTATTTGCTTTACATACTCTATCCACGGGCTGGAGCGACAGCACAGTGGGTAGGGCGTTTGCCTTGCACATGGCTGACTCGGGTTCGATTCTTTCGTCCCTCTTGGAGAGCCTGGCAAGCTACCGAGAGTATCCAACCTGCACAGCAGAGCCTGGCAAGCTCCCCGTGGTGTATTCGATATGCCAAAAACAATAACAAGTCTCACAAAGGAGACGTTACTGGTGCCCGCTCAAGCAAATTGATAAACAACAGGAGGACAGTGCTACAGTGCTACTCTATCCACACTTAGAAAAGACATAGTGTTTAACAGATAAACTTGGCTAGGAGCCAGAGAGACAGTTCAAGGAAGTAAGATATTTGCCTTGCCCTCAGCTTCCTCCACTCAAATCCCTGGCACCATGTATGGTCCTCTGAGCTCAGGGTCATTTCTGAGCAGAGCCAGGAACAGCCCGTGAGCACCAGCAGGTGTGGTTCCCCCCCTTGCCCCTCCCCCAAAAATAACCACTTTGGTTAGGCTAGACTTGAGTTCAGATATTAAAACCCTAAGAACATGTAAATCAAGGTCACAGGCAGGGAGAAAGAAAGGCCCACCAGAGTATACTTACATAGAACATAATCTGACAGTCTACAGAGATAAAACAAGCAATTTCAAGGTCTCAAGGCACCCAGAAGCCTGGTTCCGGGGAATCCAGAGCTAGCAAGTCACAGCCACCCATGCAAAGCTACTTCTTAAAGACCCCCATGCCCAGTCCTTGCTTACCTCTCCAAGGCTCCCAAAATCTTCAATGAGGGAGATGAGTGACGCATCCATGTAACTCTGCATGGTCCCCAGCAGTGTCTCATCTTGTAGCAACAAGGCATCCATCTCCAGGTCCTTGTCCCTCAGAGTGGGGCCCAGTCGTGACAGACTGACAAAGCCAGAATCATCTCCTTCCTCTTGAAGCAGCACCTGTGGCAAAAGTCCCAAGAACAGATGAAGGCTCGTGTGTGGGCTGTGGGGCAGGCAGCTGACTGACGAGCCCCCGACACCAGGCGCACAGCCCCCTCACCAATGGGTCAGACTCTGTACAATCCAAACCATGAGCCAACTCCACAACCACAATGGCAGTGTTCAAGAATCTTAAGGGCTGGAGTGACAGTACAGCGATTAGGGCGCCTGCCTTATATGCGGCCAACCTGGATTCGACCCCCAGCATCCCATATGGTCCCCAAGCACTGCCAGGAGTAGTTCCTGAGTGCAGAAGCAGGAGTAACCCCTGAGCATCGCTGGGTGTGACCCAAAAAGGAAAAAAAAATCAAAGTTTGTTCTTGGGAGAGGGGAAAGGGAAAGAAGGACCTTCTTGGACTAGCTGGTTGGGTCCACAGTATATTAAACTGGTGGGGTAAGGAAACCATAAAAAAAGATCAAGCTGGGAGTTGGAGAGAGAGTACAAAGGGCTGGAGTACATGTAGAGAACATGTTTTACATGACAGAGTCCTAGATAGATTCCTGGCATCACACAGTCCCTAATCATGACTGTGCCTGTACCCAGAGACGAAGCCGTCTGATGCATGTCAGTGATAGCTACTTCACTCCGATCTCTCGCTGTTTAACTCACATCCCATCTTCTTCCGGATGACACCTCAGACTCCCCATACTCCTCTGCTCTCTCCTCGCACCTCTGGATCTCCAGATTTCAGTACCACTTGCTTTCCTGGCAGTCATGTCCTGGCTCATCCTCACAAAATTCCTGGGGGCTGGGGATGCAGCTTGGAGATAGAGCACTTGCTCTGCAATGTGTGAAGCCCTGGGGTTAACCCTGGCACAGCAAAATCATGAATAAAACTAGATCTCAAGTTCCTGTGGGGACACCAGGCAGTACAGGAGGTTAAAGCATGACAGGGTCCCTAAGCACAGCATAGGGTTCTCAGCTCAGCCAGAAGTAAGTCCTGAGCATGGCTGGGTGTGGCTGGCCCTGCTCCCTCCCACAAAAAAACAAAGTTCCTCTGGGGCACACGACCCTTTGTATTTTGTTAGCTTATATCCTTCTCCTTTTTGGAAGGGGTGAACTGCTTATACATCCTGCAGGGCTAAAGAGGCCACCAGACCCAGAGTCTGTAACAGAACTGACAGTCATACTAACCTCAGACTCTGCTACTTCAGGCTCTACAATGTAACACACAAGCTCTCAACTGTTGCTCCAAGGACAGAAGTCTCTTTCCCATGGTACCAGGGGAGAGCCGAAGAGAAAACTCCATTCTGCATATGGAGCAGCCCCACCCCACCACTCCCCAAAGAACTAGCAACCCTTTCACCTTGTCAGGCCGGAGCCGCCCGCCCAGGCCTGTCAGGAGTGTGGGCGTGGGCAGGGCCCTAAGTGGCTAGAACAGAGCTGACAAGACCAGCGGCCAGAGCCTCGGCCATCTACTCAACAAAACTCATGAAGCGAGGGCAAGATGAGGCTTCAACAGACAAGCCTTTCTGGAGCCAGGGGAAAGGCCATCTCCTCCAAAGGCGGAAAAGCAACAGGTGTGACTAGGAGTCCTGGTGCCCGGGGAGAGGAGAGGCGAGACAGAGACACTCGGGAGGTGAGGTCTGGAGATGAAGTGGAAGGTGGCAGGGCTGAGGAACGCGTTCCTCCCAGACCTTCACAATCCTGTAATTACGACCAGCATCTGAAGAGCGCCTGGCTCAGCAGATCCTGGGCGAAGAAGGGGCCTGCCCTGTGACCTGTCCTGCCACCTCTCTGACCCAGGCACTGGGCCAGAATCTCAGGGACAAGGCACAGCTCTCCAATCCCTCGCCCCAGCAGCATGGCCCCCAGAACTAAGATCACCGACAGACCCGGAGCAAGTTACAAGCTGCACTGAGGCTCTTCTGGATTCGACCCTGGCCAATTCCTGAGTCTCTTCCTCTATCCTCCCAAGAATATTACTGTACAGTGCTACTTCTATTAGTACTGGTCTGAAAATTCCTCCCTCTGGCTTACAGGGGTCCTGATCGCCCTCCTCCACCTCTTCTGTTGCAGCACCCTCTTCCACCACATTCTAACACATTCATATACAGGTCTCTCCCATTTTGGCCATAAAAAAAAAAAAAAGAAAAAGAAAGAAAGAAAGAAACACCACCACCAAGAAAAAAAAGTCTACCCCCTCCTATAAATGCTCCTCCATGCACAGTCTTCAGGTCCCTGCATAAAAACTAGATTTCCTATGGAGGAGTCTCCATCTATGGGGGGACACCTTTGGTCCACTCACCATCATTTGTCTAGCCCAATAATCCAAGACCCGGATGACAGGGGAACATGCTGGTTGGAGTCTCCTGAGCTTGAACACAGTAGCTCAATAAACAGCTGGCTGATGAGCTTCCACAGACCCACCTTTATGGGGATGGGGGACACACCTGCAGTCTCCATCAGATGACCATGGCACTTGGATTACAGGGAGGACCATGGATCCTTCCAACCTCTCCCATATAGTTCAAGTAGTGCCCTGTCCCACGGGACGGGAAGGGAAGGGAAGGGAAGGGAAGGGAAGGGAAGGGAAGGGAAGGGAAGGGAAGGGAAGGGGTGGTGGGCAGCTCCAAGTTCCGGCCCCAGAGGCCCCAGTAGCCCTTCTGGGGGTAGCGTCTGGATTCATCTGTTAAACCTGACATTGCCTGGCAACCTACTGTCCACCAACTGCCACCCACCCCAAAATGCTTTCAAAGACTCCGCTTCATTCTTTCAAAGAGACAGCAGCAGTTCAGATGAAATCTAGGCACCCCTCCACGCAGAGTGGGGGACAGACTGCAAATAAGGCAAGCTGAAGGCCCAGGGCTGGGGGGGGGGGGCGTGGGGAGGAGAAAAAAAGACAGCTGACTGGATAGAAGCCCCCAATGCAAGAGTTCTGCTAGGGTAGCACAGTTCTCAATGGCCTCCAACTTTTCCCAGCCCCTGGCCACAATGCCAGCGCGCCTTCCACAATGCCCCCCTTCCCGCCGGCATTGTCGGTCCCGGGCATCAGGCCTCGGCAGCCACCGCGGCTGGGAGGGTGGAGAGAAAGTGAAGGGCAAAATGCACGATTCCCTTCTCTTCCTGCAGCTTGTCCCGCGTGTCTGCGGGCGCGCTCCCTGCACCCGAGAATCGCCAATGAGGGAGGACTGCGGGCAACCCCAACGCCAGTGCGGGTGACTCACAAGCCGGTCAGACCGAAGCCGCCACCAGCTCACGCCGCGGCCCCGCCACCCCCACCCCGCCCACCCGCCCCCAACACACGCCGCCAGCCGCCGGGAAGACGCCCAGCACCTCTGCAAAGTCGTCCGACCATCCGCGGGCGGGAGACGCCGCGGGACCCCCAGCGCGAGAGGGGGGGGAAAAGTCCTCCAAGGTTCTGGGCAAAGTTGCGTGCCGCAGCTCCCAGCCCCCGCCTCCTCCGCACCTTCCCTCCCCGCCGGGGGCCCTCCGCGGGCCCGGCCGGCGATGGCGGGACCGGGGGAGACACACCCAGTTCCCGGCAGTGCGGCTCCGGCGCCCGTCCGAGCCGCCGGGCAGCCCAGAGCGGGAGAGCCACGTGGACAGGGCCTCCCCGCCCCCACGTGGACCCGCGGCCCGCTCCCCCCGCCGGGAGCCCAACCCACGTGGGAGCCGCCGGGCCGCCCGGAGGGGGAGGGGAAGCAGACAAGTTCTCCCGGGAAAAATCTCTCCCCCGGCCCCACGTGGCTCGGAGAGGGGGCCCCGCACGCGGGACGCGGGCCGCCCCCCACGCGGCATCCTCGAGATCCAGAGGCCGCCCCCCGCCCCCCCGCCCCGACTCCACGCCCCAGCCCCGGGGCCCCCCGCCGCGGGCCGTGTCTCCCACACCCGCGGCTGCCCCCCGAGCGTCCTCGAGGAACGGCCCTGAGGACCCCGCCTCCGTCCGCATCCCCGCAGCGAACGGTCCGGGGCTCCGCTCGAACCCGGCCCCGCGCCGCGCCGCCGGCCGGCATCGGCTCGCGAGCGCTTCCTCCCTCTCCCGGAGCGTCCACGTGTCACCGCCCGGCACACGCCGTTTCTGCCTGCCAGCTGCGGGCCGCCCGCCAGCCTCTCACCTGCTCTCCGCCGCTCCCCGCGCCAACGGTCCCATAGGGCGCTTGGCTCCGGCTCCCCCAACCGCTGCCGCGGACTCCGCCGCCGGGGTCGGGGCCGGGGCCCCCACTCGGAGGCGGCGCGACTCCGTCTCTCCGTGCCCGGCGCGCCGCCATCTTGGCCCCTGAACGCCCAGCGCAGCTCCGATCGCCGGCGCCGCCTCGCCCTGCCGATTGTGGGGCGGGAACTACAAGTCCCGAAAGACGCCGCCAGACTACGACTCCCAGAAGGCCCAGCGGCGCGACAAGTGCCCGGAAAGAGGCGCCTGGCTTCGCAAGGGCGTCTGGGAGTCGTAGTCGCTTTAGCGAGGAGGCCGGCGGCACGTATTCTAGTCGTTCGGTAATGCTTAGCTGTGTTGGGATCGGGAGTTCCCTGGCCCTGGGAGGCGCGGAGAGACCAGACAGACACAATTCCTGCAGGAGTAAAAACGGGGTTTATTTAGACCAGCATGCTGGGGCTCCGCAGCATACCCCAAAAATGGGCAGTGGCTGAGAGCCCCGAACTTCTTCAAAGGGGATCTTATATAGGCCTTCACTGGCCGTTACAGCAAAGCCCGCGCATTTCATAGCCAATAGATTTGTAACAACATATACTTTCTTAACCAATCCATTTAAAAGTACCTCACTCCTTAGCCTATAGATTCAAAGATCAGCATTTACGTACATCGATTGTCAGCACAAGCAAGGTTATAGCTGGAATCATTAAGCCTTAGGTAATCTCCCTTGACCATCCTCGTTTTGTGTTACCCAAGTCTGCAGGGTGCTTTAGTGAGACAATACATTCCAGGAAAGGGCAATTTCCCCCAACCACCAGCATCCTGAGTTAGCCTTTACCCAAATCTGCAGGGTGCTTTACTGAGACAATACATTTCAGGGACAGTAAATACACCTGAATCTTGTAGAAAGAAGTTATGCCCTGTTCACTTTGCAAGTCCCCTCTCCCCCAGGTGCAAAGCAGCCAAGCAGTTTTACAGAAAGCAATGTTGCAAGTTAGCTAAAGTACACAAAAATTTGATGCCCTAATATGGATTCTTTCATTCCCCACTTCTTTTCATGAGCATCTCTAATCCTAGAGATCGTGGGGGGGGTCGGGGCCTAATTCAAGGACCCGTGGTTAAGAGTAGCTTCCCTCAGTGGGTAGAGTCCGGTATTGTTGCCCCGAATTAGGAGGATCTTCAAGACTCAAACCAATTCTCCCAGGCTTCTCCGACGTCGTTCAAGGCCTTCCCGTAGCTTGGCTATAGAGTCTCTGACAACCTCAGTGTGGTCTGCGTAGAAACAGCATCCCTCCACCAGATCAGAGCAAAGCCCTCTGTTCTTGAGGAACAACAGGTCGAAGGTCGAGTCCTCTCAGGTTTTGGGAGACTATCTCGAACAGGGATGTGAGAGATTTCTCGATGAGGTCTTAAAAAGAGTTAAAGCAACAGAAACCAAAGCAACATAATGCCATACCCATCTCTATCATTAAAACAATGAAAAGGATTAACTCTACAAACAGGTTTGGTTGATAATATAACTTCCTGTGTTCAGATTTTTCTAATGGTCACAGAAACACCAAGCCATTCTCTGGCTTTCTCAGTACAGACTGGAAAAGCTTCTGCCCATATACTGAAGCTATCAATGAGAACCAACATATATTTATACCTTGAACATATGAACATTTGATCATTTGTATGAGGTCAAGCTGCCGATTCACCTCTAAGTTCCTTGATGCTGAACAGGTGTTAGGAGAGGAGGCTCAGGATTTCCACTAGGTTCATTAATGGCACAGAAAGCACAGTTCTGAATTACTTCTATCTTACTTGCTGTTCAGTTCCTCCCCATGGAAGATGGTTCTCACTAGTGTTAAAACATAACCCTTTAATAATATTCCATTGCATTGGTTCAGGAGTTGTTAATCCCATGATGCAACAGAAATTAAGAGCTGATAATATTCTTGTTCTCTCCAAATGACTGTTCACAGAAAATGAGATGCAATAAAGTATAGAAAGAAAATTCACAGTATTTTAGAACTAGATATTAATCTACTCTAATTTGACCAGTTTAGATGCCTTTCTCGACACTTTGGCCAATTCAGACCGGGGGAAAGCAATTCTGCACTTTGAGATGAGCTTCACCCTAGTAAAGCTCTGGCTTTCAATGCTCGAATCAGACTAGTGACAGCATGTATAATATTGAGTTCCCTTTACAGATTAGGCTGTTTTACCTACAGACAGTAAACTAAGTTTTATCTAAATTTCCCCAAAGGGGGTACCTTTTAGATCAAGATTAGAATACATTTATTCAATCACCTCTGTAGAATTAGAATCTGATTCTTACAAAAAGCAAGTTACAGAAACATGGTTTTCTCTCCACCTTCATTTTAAAACGTTGCAAGATAGTTTAACAAACCTGGCTTGTTCTTTTGCATAAACACAGTAAGATTAGAGAACTCTCCATTTGGGATACCCAATTATTTACTGAGAAGTCCTGGGGATCAGCTAAAGACAGGAGACACAACAATAGTGGCATTAATCTTCATTAATCTTATCTGGCACGTCAGAGCTACCCAGGCCTGGCCAGAAGATGTCCCGCGATGTCTCGAGCCCTTGGGTTGTGGCTTTGGTCCTCGTTTTCCACAGAGATGTCCTGGCAGAAAGGAATCCATCCCATCCCTTCTTCAGGGCTGGGAGAAATCCTGGTTTCCAGGTTTTTCCTTGACGCTGAGAGTAGGCCCAGACTGAGTTAGTCATTGCAGAGTCCTAGATTCCTCATTCTCCATAGCAGTGACGGTTTCCAGTCTTTTCTCGAGCCAGCCTGCCTCTAGGGTCGCTCTGAGGTTTGTAGGGTTCTTGAAACAGTACCTGTTAAATCCCTGCTCCTGTCATTTAGACAGATCCCCTGACTGTTTCCCTGGAAGAGGGCTTTGGGGTCCCATGGCTGGTTTTTCCTGTCTGCATGAGGGGTAGACCCTATTACAGAGAGGAAAGACTTATCTGGATTTATGCAAACCAACATAGTGCCATGAAACATCAAAAAACATACTGAAGGTACAAAAGAAGAGAAAAGCAAGTATTTCACTTTACTCACAGAGATGTAATACACCTGTTTGCTGTGGGTCCTAGTCAGAGAAGCTAAAATCTGTAGAGATAAAGCATACCGTTTAACGTGTTTTTAATCCCATGTCAAAACCCTTGATTTCTGCAACTTTTGAAAAATTCAATGATCTTAAGAGCACTGTAACAGGAGTCCAGATAATCCATCAATCATCTTTACCATAGATCTTACCACAAAGGTGCTAGAAGAATTCTGCATGTGATTTAAAGCGTTTCTTATAACAGTTTGACCAGTTCCTTTTCTTTAGAACAACCTCAAACCTTCTACACATTCCTTTACACACATTCTGTAACTTTCATTCATTTAAAAATCAATTTCACTTTAACAGAATTCCTTTCCTTTCTTCCCACTGACGATATCTCCATCCATTATCTTTCTGACTTATGGCATACATCTATAGTAGTACAATGTACAATGTGATCTCCCAAATTTAGACACAAGTTACCAACCATCTCACTTAACATGACAAAACTGTACTCTGCAGTACTATTTCAAAAGCATTAGATCAGTTCCATAGATATTCAAAATGCTTAAAAATGCTCACAATTAAAGCTTTTACAAGGTATATCCACTGGGCAAAAGATCACTTTACATTAGAAACTAACCAGGAGACATCTTAAAATTCTGATTTAGAGGAAAACACAAATACAAAAAGATTAAAACACTCATATATTACCATGAAACAGAAAGCATCTCAGGTCAGGGCTAGGTTGATACCTGGAGACAAACCTTGGCATAAAATAAAATTATCAAAATAATAGCATGCACTTTCAAGCACTAGACAAGCAATGCTATGGCTTCAAATTGTCAGGCTGACATCTGAGACTAATTCAATACAACTTATTACTAAGTAGCCCTAGAAATTTTAGTTACCAAGAGTCTCAGAGATCAGATAGAGCACTGGTAGGACAAACTTTGTAACCAATTTTATAACTCTAGAAACTCATGATTAAACTAAACCATTACTTTTAAACCAGTTTTAATGTGTCATAGTTATTTTAACTCTTTCTAGGTCAAATATTCTAATCCAATGCAGATACAAATATGTACATTAACATAACAGCATAAGACCTATAAACAATCAATTTTTATAAAACATGATAAAACCTTCTTTGGCTTAATTTCAATAGTTCTTGTACCTTAATTATTTAAAATCATGAGCTTTCTACACCAGATACTTTTTAACAATTCCACAGAAATACAAACATGCTTTCAGACACAGAAAAAGCCCTTTGGATTTTTTTTAACCAAACTTTGATATCAGCATAAGAAAATATTTGAATTGTTGTGTGAGCACAAAAAGGATGGCAACAATCTATCTTTCCCACCGCCAGCGTTCTGTAGTTTCCCCCACTCCAGGGAGGTAGATGGAGATGGGCAGGAAAAGGAAGGAAACCTTATGGCCAGGCTGCTTGATCTTAGTTGCAGTTTATTCCAATCCTCTCTCCACTCTCGTACCAAAGACTAGCCTGCCTAGAGCTGGGAATCTGCAACCCAAAGATCAGGCCTGGCTAGCACCTGAGATCTCCGTATCTAAGACCTGCTAGGTTCTGTGAGAAAAAGGGAAACTGCCTCTTACAAATTTTTCATAAAAGTTAGCTGAGGCTTGTAAGACAAGTTCTTGCTTTCTCTGAACTCTTATTTCACTTTAGTTTCAGGCTCTAGTTCCATAGCTCTTCTAGACAGTACAAGATTCTTAAGTTCAAAAAGGATTTCAACTGTTAATAATATAATCAATGTTCTTCTAACAAGAAATTTAGATTGAGAATTCTGCTTTCTCTGTAGGCTCAACCTTCTGATAAGGATTAACCCTTGTCTAACAGGTTCCTAAAACAACTGCATTTCTTAAATCACTGGGTTGCATGTCACTAACTTCTCTAAAATTTCTACTTCTGATTTCAGCCTGGTTCCAACACTCAAGTGTTCCACACAGACACACAGACAGACAGACAGTCAGACACAGACAGACGGACACAGACAGACAGACAGTGAACTGACGAAAACACCACACGTACATGTGCACATATCTGTAGTTGATCGATCAATCTGACCCTTCAAAA